AGGATTGTCAACGAGGTTCATGATAATGAGAGAATCGTCACGAACTGTTGTTAATTTACCAGGTTTCACGATGGGTTCAGGTTTAATAACTTGTTGTTTGGAGGTCAGTGTGCGTTTTGAATCATGGGCTCTTTATTGACCGGACGAACAGTCTTGGGGGTAGACTGTGCGACTAAATCACCAGTTATTTTCCGTGCAGCAACACTTGGGTTGCTCGGCTTAGGCGGTGATGCCTGGTTCTTTTGGGCTCTCTTAACGTGGGTCGAATCACCTGCAGGGTTTTTGGGAACCACTGTTGTGTTTGGGGACCCTGAGCTGGGAGACCCGAGTTTGCCTAGGGAGTTCAGTACCGTCGACGTAATGATGGTACTGAGCCTCGACACGTCGTCGTTAGTGTTGATGGATGCGCCGTCGATGGAATACCTATCGACATCCCTGTTTTTGAGTCCGTTGCACGCTCTTGTTTGTATATCAGTTTTTTTGCTATCGTTTTCCAAGTTAACTGACAACTTGTTCCGAAGACCTGTCAGTAGGACAATGATGTTACTCAGCAAGACTACGGAGTCGGTGTTGCACGTGACACACACCCACTTTTGCTCTGACTTGCTGAGTCTGTTGTAAGCAGTTGCTGTCAGATCTGTGCATGCTTCGTGGAACCAACCTTTGCAGTTGTCGCACTGCATGCCAGTTGTGACAGCAAAACGGCATCCCGGACGTTTGCATGAGTTTTTCATGACGGTGTTGAAGCAAATTATGTTATAGATGCTTGCAAGAGCCTAAGACCTTTAAAAAAACACTAAAAAGCACACTGAAAACGGACAAAAATGGACAAAACGAGTGATATAAACTGAAACTAGTCTATACGTGAAAAACAAAAAAAACCGAATAGTAAGCTGAGGCAAAACCACAGGTAACTATTAAATATAGTGAAACTCAAAAAAAAGTAATCTACCGAACGTATAGCTCAGGATAGATTCTTTAGAACTGAAATGGTACTTTTGTTGCGTAAGAACACAGCAAAAGTTTGATAAATGCAAATCACGTTAGGACTAAACTTCCCGTTCGAAAAGCGCGCGAGGAGACATATATATGTGATAATATCCCTCTTTTTTGTCAAACAAGATGTTAATTTAGAGAGATTTGTGAAAATGTAAGCACGGTCAGCGGCATATTCAAAGGAGGCACCTTACATATATTCGTCTACAAACTTCCCACAAAACGCGATGTAAGTAGGAAAAAATCGGCTTTATCCCTTTATGTACTCGATCGTCCGCTTTATGTCCCTTTTATTCACCTTTATTTCCTTTTTATTAACTGCTTACTGTTATTCAAATAAGCGTTATTTCCGCTGTCTATTCTTCTAATTTATTGGCCAAGCCCTGGGTTTGAAGGTTATAATGGTGTTATAACATACCTTTAGGCCAATCTACACTGTGTTGGAGTTTTGACCCAGATAATTATTAAATGATACTATCATATTTGTCTTTCTTGTTGATGTCACCACATGTAGACGAACCTTCGTTGTTCAATTGACCTCATTTGTGGTTATTATCTCAGAAGAAGCCTACAAGTTTCATTCATTTCATAACAGCTGTTATCATTTTGTTATATGATGTACCGTTTTGTAAGTAAATTTGGTTACCGTTTCGCTTTACTCATAGACTGACACTTCGTTTCGCATTGTTAATAGTTTTTGGTATATAATTAATAGCTGCGCGTATTCATATCTTGAATAAGTTAATTGCTGAGATCCCCCACACATGTAAATTTAGTAATTATCGTAACCAAAATGAAAGACAATATTATTTTATTTCTTCGTGACGTTTGGTGTGCAGTAACATACAACCTAAATAACAGGCACAGATAATTGGCTGATCAATACCTGAGCTACTTTTAGCATTTCAGTTCCAGTTTGGAAAGGGTGTGGGGCTAGGTGGCATTTTTTAGTCCTGAAAATGACAGTCTCTCACTTTATTCAAATTTCCTTTGAAAGAGATGGCAAATGGAGCTCCAGTCATATGTTGAGTTAGTGAATTTCATTCGTTGATGATTCAATGGGAATATTGATAGTCAGCTGACAAGTAATTTATTCTAGGCTTGTGAACATTTAAGAAGTGTTCTTGTAGATTTTTCGTTTCGAAAGACAAGAAAAGTGAGAATATATTACTAATTAATTAAAAATTGTGGTCAAGTCACCTCTGGTTCTTCTATATGACAAAGCAAACAGATTTAGTTTGACCAGTGAGACATCAGATAGGAACTTAGTTACTGCTCTTTGAACTTTCTCCAACAGCTAATTATCTATTTTTAAGCAGGGGTCAGCTACTTGTATGCAGTACTCGTAAGCGTATAGCCATGATTTGAGATCATTTTCTGCGTCTCGTATTTTTGTACGGTCCACAAGAAGACTTTACGGACAAAAACTTATGACCCCTTCAGTTTATGTCCGGTCTATAGTGTAGAGTCGCTTGAAACAGATTTTAAAGGTAATATTACAACAATTTTATTAGCAATATGACGTTTAGCATTTCTGAACAATAGAGTCGTGAAGATAGTTATAAATTGAATACAAAATATAGAGGCTACATAAAATGACCATAGCTGCACGACCGAGTAATGTCGTTTCGACCATCTGTTGTCGTGTTCACCATTGTTGGCCTTCTCCCAGCGTTACATGTTGAATGTAAATCTCAGTAATTATGCGCTCATGTGGTTAGGAAGCAATACCACTACAACTATAGAGATATCTTGAGTCATTAGCTGGTCTAGTAGCCCTTTTACCAACCCAACATCATTTTCAAAACAAGTTCTGAATTCACTGTCTACAAAAGACAATAAGAATGTGGCACTCACATTGATTTCTTATCAATTTAATTTTCTTGATAACTCATAGAAAACATTAGAGTACACAAATGACGACCTAAGTAGATTAAATCTTTAAAATAACGTGTTGTACAATTAATGTTTCTTTCATTATTTTAAAGAAACCAGTGTAATCTATATCATCAAACATAGACGATATAATCTTAATTGAGATTGTATAGTGTCATGTGTGATCGCTAATCATCATAACTATTTAAAAAGTTTTACAGAAAGCTGATGAGACTGTAATTTATGGACGACCTTCGAACGACACTAAATTCACCTCGAGAATGTACACTTAATAACTAGGACCAAATGAGGTCTATACACCAGTATAAGGAATTAGAATTAGAAGTTACAGTTACTGGTTAGGAGGTAGGAATTAAAATTAGAGTTTTCATCACGAACTGACATCAACTGAAATGCCAAAACTCTATTTAACCAAACGGATGAGTGAATTTCGCGCCGAAATCAGAGACCTGTTATCTTATATCTGATTGGTTCGTCCATAAATCATAGTCTCGCTTTATTTTCAATTATGTAATATTCAATGATAATTTTGTTCAATAAAAACCGTGGAGGATAAAAATACTGTGTAAAGTTGTGAGAAAAAAGATATTCACAATCAATATGCAGTTCAGATCAACATGAGTATCAACTTGAATCAGACAAATTTCAGGTCAACCAAAGTTAATACTAAGTGTGTCGACTAAAAGAATGCTCAGTTGAGTGAAAGAAATTTTAGAGAAATTAATAATAAAAACACGATTCTATTGGTATTGATGTAACTGCCTAAAAAAATAAATCCATCTGTGTGATCACCAGTCTAGGTGACTCGACACTGCGTGCCCTATGTTGAGATAAGATGGTGATTGGAGGTATGTAACAGAAAACCCTGGACCTACGTTTTCAACTTGGTCGATAGGATTCGATCTACACTAAGAAAGACCTGACATATATGACATTGATCACCACCTAGTGACCAGTCAATTTTAAATTCATCTGAGTCCTACAGGAGGCCAGTTGACGCTTGCATAGCTCAGTGGTAACGTCTCTGACTGTGAAACTGGGTGATACAGGATCGAATTTGTCAAGGAGCATCAGTTCCCTTAAGATTACCGGTACACCTTGCTGACGAGTGCAAAATAGCACGAAACATTAGGTCCAGGCTTTTCTGTTGACTATCTCCAACCATCATCTTATATATAAATATATACTGAAAATTCTGTCTTTCTTATACTATTACCGCTACTACGTCTAACATTCTCACTACTACCATTCTACTAGTGTTCATTACACTTAATTGTACTCTTGATATCTGAATTTTTTGTTGGCCTATGGTTCGTGACAGACTAATGACTTGATAGATTTATTAGTATGATAGATATTCTATTGCATTTGGGATATTGTTTTATGAACTATAAATAGTATACAATGTAAATTTTAAGGAACTATCAGCTAATATACAATTCCAATGTTAATGATATTATTTCAAATAACTGAATAATTGCATTGCCTCTTGTATTTCTCATTATCAACAGCGTTTCATTATTGTCTAATAATCTACTTATTCATTCATAATTACAGTGAACGAGAACACAAATAGGGACGATCGAATGTGTCTGATAACAAAATTACAGAGCACCTCAATAAAATATGAGATCCATAGAGTACATATTTCATTTGCAAAATGTCAATCAATCGTCTCAGACTTAATTGTTCCTGCATTTCCATACCAATGGCTTTTTGTTCCCGTTCTCTCCTTCTTGATCTTCTGCCGCAAGATATTCTATTCCTAACTAGTGGTTATATACTGTATATGTCGATATAAGTAGCACACACCAAAATACTACGTACACATAACAGTGAAACATTCAAAAGACTAAACGGTAACACTAGAATCATTGCAACAAGTCTACTATTGTGTTTTGAAACATTATTCATCATAATATGACTTATCAACAATATTTGATATCAACTAAGATTATCCTATTTCACATCAATGTTTTAATTAAGACCAATAAAGTAATGATAAGCATTTATTTATTAAAACAAGAAGAAATCAATTTGATGATAAAAATGATTAGTTATTACAAGTAATAAACAATACGATGAAAAGAAAAAAACATGTTCATTATTTATCTTTTGAATGCATCAACTGGAGATGGATAACCTAGAATTCAAACAAAAGATATAAGTTTGAATGCAGTAATCATAGAAATTCGGTGAGGTTATAATCTATGAACGAGCCAATGAGAAGCGTTTGAGGGGTTTCAAGGTCGCAGCGCCAATTTCAGTACTTGATCCTCACGTACGATCGGTACACAGAGGATTGTAGAGCAAAAGAGATAATTGAGCGACTATAACCAAATGGGACTACTAAGAAATTCCTCTATTTGTAATTGTGATAATCGAATGACTTGTGGACATTCTGCAGACTACCGTGATGATGTTGTCTTTCGTTGGAATATGTGTTGGAGGAAGAAGCCTACTAGAATAGGAACTTTTTCGCTCGATTCAGATTAAGACTAAGGCAAATTATGACAATTGTTGTGAACTGGATAACAAAAGCACCAGTAACACTGGCTGCAGTCTCTCACTACATTATATACGATTGATTGGAGAGCGCACAGACACCTACATAGACTTGATTATGTGCATCATGTCGTTATCTACAAGCGGCACTTCATGGATCCGACAACCGGAGTGCACACAAACAATATTGAAGCTATTTAGTCGAGGCTGAAAGAGTTTTTACGACTTATCATGGCTTCAGAGGCCGACTATTATAGAGCCTATATGGATGATATCCTCTACCGTATGTATTATGATTTCAGAACCTCTGAACCACTTTCTAACCTTGAAAAATTTTTGAACCACTGAAATGAAGTGTATCCACTTTAATTCTCTGGTCTTGTATAATAAATTTTTACCCTACACTAACCTTTTTCCAATTGGCTAATACTTCTGAAAGTCATTTAAGATTCGTTCAAAGGTTGCCCATAAGTTATAGTTTCACTTAGAATGCTTCTAGTTAAAATTGAACTGGTCAAGTTGTATATCTTCGGGGTGAATACATGAATTAAGCACTTAGTTATAAGTAACATACTCAACAATATACATCCATATGTATTACATCCATTAAATCATTGTGTATTCATAAGATACTGTGTTGAATATGATTTAATCAAGTTACATATTGACGATTTTTCGGAGACGGTATTTTCCTTATGTTATTCATCATTCAGTATGATATTGTGAAGATCGTTGAATTTCATAAAAATCGACTACTGTTAAAAACCTGGGAGCACTAGATGGACATTGGCTCTTCATATGGAACTGTTCAAAGTGTGAGACTGAAGGTCCTGGGTTCGAGTCTTACTTGTGGGGGCGTTGTGAATGCGTACTGCTCAAAAGTCTCATACTAGGATGAAACGGCCGTCCATCGGTTCTAGTTTTTCAATGGTGGTCTAGTTCAAATCGGTTCATTATTTCAATGTTATATATTCATATCATACTATTCAATTGATACTAGCCTGATATACATGTAATGGGGTATCTTTCAGAAATATAACATTAATTGAAGAAACTGTGAGTAAATATGTTAAGATCCAATGGAACTTATTCATATCACGACTTACTTGTTTCTGGTGCAATGTAAATCTCCTTGATAATTTCTAAAAGAAACTGATGTGCTACTACAATAATAAAATAGAACAAGGAAAAGTATATAAAATTTTAATGAATATTTAATGGTTATAGGATTTTATTCTTCATGATAGGAAACCGTTTACATTACACCATGGTAAAACTCTGGAGATAAACTAACATGAAAATCATCCATCCATAAATATTTCTGCAATTATCTCTGGGAAAATAGGAAAAAAATTACTAATGAACTTACCAACTATTTACTTCTTATGAACTAACATATCAAGGATTACCAACGCGGCTCGTTTGAAACTAGATTTTTGCATAATCTGTGACTTTGTTTTAATTTGGTGTTTACTGGACTCAATTAAAGACAGCTCGACTTTGATGCTATATTTTGACGTTCTCAAAGTTTTTGACATGGTTAGTCTTCAGTGGGGCTATTCATTTTGACATAAATTAGGTCTGATGATGCTGTCGACGGACACACCATTAGAGCAGTCCTGGATCTGATCCCAATTAGATCGTATGAATGATTACTGTCGAACTACATATATATCGTCTATCCTCGTTTAATCAGCATACTCAATAGTTGCAATGACTGAACATTTAAAATTTTTATCAATTTACTAATAGAGTGATATATAATTTCTAGTGTAATCATTTATTGGCCCACGAACATCGGACTTATACATACCGTATATAATTGTCGACTTAAATCGCTTTATTGTATAATGGAATCAAATAAGCCAAATACGAGAATGGATGTTTGAATATGTCTATTTTGTACACTCGTTGATGGAACAGACAATCAGAGAATCGCAGCGAATGAAACGAACAATAGAGAGCGAAGTGAAACGAAATAATGCGCGGTCGAGATGTCATATGAGCCAACCCATTTAACCAAGCCTTAATCAATATTTAAAGTCACACAAAATTAAGCTGCAGACATGTGATAAATGAGATAAGAAATGCACACACATACGCTCATATGAAAACAGTTAAGGTTGATAAGCGAATAACTAACAAGGTCAAAACATGACTCAAGCAGAATGGATAAATTAGCCTATCCACAAGATAGAATAAGGTATATAGGCTAAACATAGTAACCGACATTGCAAGTATTCAGCTTTTCAAAGACAAATTCACATCTTAAGAGATCAGAAAGTCTCTTCCTGCTTGGCTTAGTCAATCATTCAGTCAGTCAATTAATTAACGAGTCAACTAATGGCTATAATTGACGTTCCAAGTGCATGATATTGTATATTTCTTATTCATATCGTTAAGTTACATTCATAAGTTGTCAAAAAGACTATTACTAAATAAAAAAGCCGATGAGACCATAATTTATGAATGACATTTGAGTGACATTAAAGTGACCTTTGGGATGTCCACCTACTTGCTAGGTTAAATAAGTGTTATAAACCTGTGTGAAGAATAAAGATTATGATTTACAGTTGATGATTAGGGTTAAGGACTAGATTTAGGGTTTTCATCACGAATTAACATCAACTATAATGTCAAGACTCTATTTAGCCAAATGGATGAACGAATTCTGCACCAAAATCAAAGACCTATTATCTCAAATTTCATTGGTTCGTTCATAAATCATAGTCTCACTAAAAATTATAGTTACTTACACAAATCGGTATTATATTGATTAATGTAGGTACGTTGTGATTTCATTAGGCTTATAAGATCGATAATATCTGAAAAAATAAGCAATTTATTCAATGTAAATAAACGGACAAATGTCAGTGTTATTATCATAGAGGGGTTTGTGGAGATTGTAGTAATTTCAATAGTTGAGATTATGAGTCATTTGAAGCTAGACCAACATGGAAAACTTGCAAGCAGTGGACAAACGTTTCGTCCTATTGAGGGACTCCTCATGAGTGCGCAGACACGATCCCACCCACGAGATTCGAACTCAGAACTTATCAGCTTCGCGCACGAACCCTTAACCTTTTGACCACTGAGCCGGTTGGTATCCAGTAGTGCTAATGTCTGACTTCAACCAATCTACGAAATTGACGAAACACATCCAACCACTGTCCTCAGTGAGTACTATCTCACAATGGTGTTATTCTCATCAGTGTTGTTCTCCAGTATCTTGCATATTACATAACAATTAATGCACAGAATTTGAACATCAACTGTATTCATTTCAAGGATTAGTTCCTTCCAGATATTTTTGTCTGTAATAGTTGACAATGGCAGAGTATTTATTAGAAAATGGAAGACTAATAGCACAATTTACTTATTATGTAACTAAGAAATGAACAAGTTTCTTGTTCATTAGATCAAATATACTTATTCGTGAATTCATTTTACTTGAAGGGTCGAAATATGATCAATTCTCAGCAGCGACCAGTGGAGTTCAACCGGGACTTTTGTGAGCTAGTAACTCGCTGAAGACAATGGTGGATGTGTCGCTCGAGACTGATAGGTCCTGGGTTCGAATCTAGCGAGACGGAATTGTAGATGCAGATTGCTGAGGATTCCAACAATAGGATG